AGGATGCCGGCAGCAAATAGCAGGACATACAACAGAGAGCATCTTCACTGAAAGTCAGGTAGTTTTTAGAGTAAGTATGAAGTAAAGTTGGGTTCTGATTGCTTCATTGAGGTGATCAACACCAGCTCTGGCAACAAACAATCAGTATTCCACATCCCTGTCAACCCATTATTTTTGTGTTCCATACTTGAGATCTAATTTGATTATCTCTAATTATGCCCCAGTGTCATGAAGCTGAAATTTTCAATTTTTTTGTACCAAGGATCAAACGCATGACCTATGCTTTCCAGGCAGGTGTTCATGCCACTGAGCTAAATACACAACTATGAAAATGTTTTCTGTGTTGTATGGACAATATCCACATTGTTTCTGAGAAAGTGTTGAATATTGTTGGAATTTTTCAGTATTGTATGGCTATAATTTTTTTAAAAACAGACCAAATATGTCTTATGCAGTCTCTTTTTAAGTTTCACTTTATCTGTTCGGTGTCTCAATCAGGGTTTGTCTATTTTAGACAGCTCTGTAACTTAGGATAGCCCCAAATTCAAGGAAGAAATCCTTCACCAGCCTACCAAGATTTATTTCTTATATTTGAATTGAAAGTGATCACTTGGTGACAGTGAGGTATAATTTATAGCTTGGGCCTGGTTTCATTTTATATACATATTTTTAAAATACAGCTGTTTTCCACTAACACTTGAGTTATTATTTATATACCATATTTGATGTTATTTATGTTTTGTTTTATGAAACCAAATTCATGTTTCAAAATGCTGCTTAAGTATATTAAGAACAAAGTATTCATGGTCTAAATGAGATTCGAACAGACATCATCTGTAGTCTATCAAAGTGATTGCTGAGATTTTTTATTTAATTTTGAAATTGGTAAAATAGAACAAAAACAGGCAGCATAAGGCCAACTAAGATCACACAGTGAAATTGGTACACAACTTCACAACAGGTTACTGGGATAACAGTAATAGTAATCACAGTATATTTTGTTATCTTTGTCATAGTTGTTCTTTAATCACGTATATCAAAATGAGATGAAATACAGAACATTATAGAACTTATGAAAACAGAATATTCAATTGAGCAGTACCATTAATCAGAATGGAGTGAAACAATAATAAAAACATTTTCCTTCAAAGAGATAGTAGAATGAAGCCCCCTTATTTGCTATGGTCTAATTCCCAGCAGATGCTCAGATTTCTGGTTCCCATTTGCTAATGTGGGGTGACAGGAGAAGAGGGGTAGGGAAGTGGGATGTTTGATTCCAGGTGGTGCATCAGTAGTTTCACTATTGCTTAGTAGGGAGACAGGCTGGTTGTTTGGTTTCACAGAGCCCTAAGTTCCCACATAGAACAGACCTTAGGAGCTGCTGCTGGTTATCCCCCTGGAAGGGCTGCAGTTTTCCAGTTTGCCACTGCTGACTGGGGAGGGGAGGTGCTTGCTTGGCTTCCCAGGCAAATGATGACACATTTATCTGCCTCTGTGCTTTGTGGTTGCTGGTCCTGCAGGCTTCTCACTGTGAGCTCTGCGTTAGAGAAAGTGCACAGGGAATCTTGCCATGACTCAGCACAAGAATCAGTGCTCCAATTTGGCTGTTATATTAGCAGTGAGTTGCAATCTAGCATCAAATTTGCTGTCTTCAAAAATGTGTATAGACATAAAATTAATGACCAAGACATGGATTTAAATTTGAACAAATCAGTCTTCATTCAGCTGTTTTGTTTGGCTTTATTTGTTGAGTTTAGTTTTGTTTTATTGAGACAAGCTTTCTGTATGTATATCAGCTGGATTTGAATACCGTATTGAGCCTAGAATTGCCCTGACCTCACTGATGCCTTCCTTTCTCACCTTTTGAGTGCTGGGATTATAGATATGCACCACCGCACTTTGCTTTTGATTCAGATTTGTAGGAAAGAATTTAAGATATCCCAAACCTGGGGTCTCAACCTTCCTTTGAGAAATATATGTATGATCCTTTAGGAGGTGGTGACCTTTGAGGATGTCGTTGTAAACTTCAGCAGTGAGGAGTGGAGTTTGCTGAGTCCATCCCAAAAGAACCTCTACAGAGATGTGATGGTCGAAACCTTTAGTAACATGGCTGCAATAGGTAAGGAAGAAATGTTTTTGGCACTCATGCTGTCAGAATATTGTTTGTTGCTCATTAGTGCTGTTTCGTTAAAAAGAATATGAAAATATTTTTAAAAGTAGCTCAGACCTGGACACATTATATCATAAATCTAAACAAAATCTCTTAATTTGTATGCATTACTCAACTGAGTCCTGGTATTTCTATGTCTACAATTCAGGAGGACTTGGGGATATCCAGGAAGCTGAAAAAGAATGCAAAGTTTACTGGAGATACTTAAGGTAATTCACACTCACAAGGAGAGGAATGTTCCTGAGTAATTAGTGAGTCAGCAGAAAAATGACCACCAAAGAAATGAGGCCACCAAAGAAATTCAATTTAATGTCAGTAATATTCTCCAAAGATGTATAAGCTAGTGTATATATGAGGGAATTAAATAATGAAAATGTATGACATTGCATATAGATGATTACAAAAGGCATACACTTTGAGTTATGACATTCTGCCTTCAGCTTTTCTACCCATATATACATGTGAATACAACACTTTCATTATCTAACAATTGCTAAGATTGCAATAGAATTTGAAATAAAACTGAGTGCTCATGTTTCCAAGCCATGCTCTAGACAATTGGCGATTCTGACTAATATTCTTAGTAGGCTGGTGGAATGTTAGTGCACTCATTTTGAATATCAGTATGCAGTTGTCTCTAGAAATTGATCCCCTCATACTTGTCCTGGATATTTTTAAAATCTCAAAATCTGCATAAAATACTGATACATGCTTACTCATATACAAAGCAGATCAAGTTATAACAGATAAGGCCTTGAAGCTTATATATTTTCACTGGATTTGTGGAGAAGGAAAATGTTAATAGACTCTCTTTGATTGTGCATTCTTGTATACTCAGCACACTAGGAATCAGATTTTGCGGAATGGCAATTTCAAATTTATTTTATTTTATTTTATTTTATTTTTGTCTTTTTCGTTTTTATCGGTACTAGGGATGCAATTTCAAATTCATACTTCACAGCTTAATGATCTATGAAAATCTCTTAAAATAGATTTTTAAAAAGATATAGATTTATGCTAATACCTGTTGTTCATTCCCAGCCCAGAATGGAAAAAATGTGTTATATAATGTCAAAAAATAAATAATATAATTTCATTTGCTATAAGAATTAGATGGGTCTTTCACCCATCAATTCAGTGAAATAGCTCAGCTATAAAAACTAAAAGGTCACTGGCTTTCTTTTAGATGAGAAACCAAAATACAAAATGTGGAAAGAAATGAAACAGAGTTGTTAGAGAAAAGTAAGACTGACCATATGGAAAAGGGAACTACAGGTTAAGGACAGAAGGAAGATTGTGATGGGGAAACATATGAGAATAATTTGCATGTGATACACATATGTACCCATGCCCAAAGTGAAGCTAAAGATTATGCATTTCAAAGTACCAACTTTTAAGATTTCCAAATGTGTACCAGTCTTTTGGGAATGGTTGTTTTCAACATATCTTATAAGGCCTTTCTTTTGCTTCATGGTCACAATTTCTTAGCAGGCATTAAAAACAGAACTTGATATTAATGCAGTTATTCAATGGAGACCAATTTCACTGTCAATTTTTCTTTTTTTAAATTTAATATAAGTAAAGATTAAATAAGATAAAATAAGTATAAATAATACTGCTTTCAAAGTGAAAAAATCAGTAAGAAATTGCAAGATGATGATTACAAATGCTGATCATAGAAATAGTTATGAAATAAAAAAGTGAAACATATGAAGTGGGGATTCAAATAGTGAGACTGCAAACAGTTTTGTTCAACTCTCCAAGAAAAGCTTAGTAATATGGTTATAAATCCTATATGTGATTTTTTCTTTCCAGAAATGACAAGCTAGGGAAATCTTATGAACATACTTGGAAGCAGTATAAAGAAGTATTCCTTTGTACTGCAGAAGGTAATGTGAATGTGAAAGAAACAGAAACACACCACGATGTTCAGATCCATGAAAAATATTGCAGTCGAGGGAAACCCTATGTATGCAAACAATGTGGGAAAGTTTTTAAAACACGTGCATATTGTAAGGTTCATGTAAGAATTCACACTGGAGAGAAACCCTATGTGTGTAAGCAATGTGGAAAAGGTTTCATGCAACCTGGAAATTGTAAGGAACATGAAAGAATTCACACTGGAGAGAAACCATATATGTGTCAGCAATGTGTAAAAGGATTCACCAAATCAAAACATTGTAAGCAACATGAAAGAATTCACACTAGAGAGAAACCCTATGTATGTAATCAATGTGGGAAAGCTTTTACCAGACATGAATGTTTTAAACAACATGAAAGAATTCACAGTGGAGATAAACCATATGTATGTAAACAATGTGGGAAAGCTTTTAACACACGTACAAATTGTAAGGTTCATGAAAGAATTCACACTGGAGAGAAACCATATGTATGTAAGCAATGTGGGAAAGCTTTTAAAACACAGGGAGATTGTAAGAATCATGAAATTATTCACACTGGAGCGAAACCCTATGTATGTAAGCAATGTGGGAAAGCTTTTAACACACGTACAAATTGTAAGGTTCATGAAAGAATTCACACTGAAGAGAAACCATATGTATGTAAGCAATGTGGGAAAGCTTTTAACACAAGGCGATACTGTAAGAAACATGAAAAAATTCACACTGGAGCGAAACGCTATGTATGTAAGCAATGTGGGAAAGCTTTTAACACACGTACAAATTGTAAGGTTCATGAAAGAATTCACACTACAGAGAAATCATATGTGTGTAAGCAATGTGGGAAAGCTTTTAAAACACAGGGAGATTGTAAGAATCATGAAAGAATTCACACTGGAGAGAAACCGTATGTATGTAAGGAATGTGGGAAAGCTTTTACCAGACCTGGACATTGTAAGGAACATGAAAGAATTCACACTGGAGAGAAACCATATGTATGTAAGCAATGTGGGAAAGCTTTTAACACACGTGTAAATTGTAAGATTCATGAAATAATTCACACTGAAGAGAAACCATATGTATGTAAGCAATGTGGGAAAGCTTTTAACACAAGGGGATACTGTAAGAAACATGAAAGAATTCACACTGGAGAGAAACCCTATGTATGTAATCAATGTGGGAAAGCTTTGAACACACGTACAAACTGTAAGGTTCATGAAAGAATTCACACTGGAGAGAAACCGTATGTATGTAAGCAATGTCGGAAAGCTTTTACCAGACCTGGACGTTGTAAGGAACATGAAAGAATTCACACTGGAGAGAAACCATATGTATGTAAGCAATGTGGGAAAGCTTTTAACACACGTGTAAATTGTAAGATTCATGAAATAATTCACACTGAAGAGAAACCATATGTATGTAAGCAATGTGGGAAAGCTTTTAACACAAGGGGATACTGTACGAAACATGAAAGAATTCACACTGGAGAGAAACCATATGTATGTAAGCAATGTGGGAAAGCTTTTAACACAAGGGGATCCTGTAAGAAACATGAAAGAATTCACACTGGAGAGAAACCCTATGTATGTAAGCAATGTGGGAAAGCTTTTAACACACGTACAAATTGTAAGGTTCATGAAAGAATTCACACTGGAGGGAAACCATATGTGTGTAAGCAATGTGGGAAAGCTTTTAAAACACAGGGAGATTGTAAGAAACATGAAAGTTCACATTCAATATAAAACCAGTGTATATAGGCATCATGAGAATGGTTTTAGCACATGTACATATTGCATAATGCATGAAAATCTTCACACTGGGCAGATAACTTACATATGTAAGGAATGTGGGAAAGGTTTCAGCAGAAATGCTCATTGTACAATACATTATAAAATTTACATGGTTGAGAAACCCTGTGTGTATGTGAAGAATGTGGGAAAGCTTTCACCACACATGGATTTTGTAAAATACATCTATGACTTCACACTGGTGAGAAAGCCTATGTATATAACAATGTGGCAAAGCTTTTACTGCATATAGTCATTGCATAACACATGAAAGAATTCACACTGGAGAGAAACCATATGTGTGTAAGCAATGTGGGAAAGCTTTTAAAACACAGGGAGATTGTAAGAAACATGAAAGAATTCACACTGGAGAGAAACCATATGTATGTAAGCAATGTGGGAAAGGTTTTAACAATTCTGGACGTTGTAAGCAACAAGAAAGTATTCACACTGGAGAGAAACCATATGTATGTAAGCAATGTGGGAAAGTTTTTACTCAACATGGACATTGTAAGCAACATGAAAGTTCACACTCAAGATAAAACCAGTGTATATAAGAATCATGAGAGTGGTTTGAGCACATGTATATATTGCTTAATGTATGAAAATCTTCACACTGGGCAGAAAACTTATATATGTAAGGAATGTGGGGAATGTTTCAGCAGAAATGCTCATTGTCCAATACATTATAAAATTTAGACTGTTGAGAAACTCTGTGTATGTGAAGAATGTGGGAAAGCTTTCACCAAACATGGATATTGTAAAATACATCCATGACTTCACCCTGATGAGAAACCCTATGTATATAACAGTGTGGCAAAGCTTTTACCACATACAGTCATTGCAAAACACATGAAAGAATTCACACTGGGAAAAATCACTGGCTATGTAAGCAAGTGGAGACACTTTCAGCAGCCAGATTGTAAGTGAAATACATGAAAAAACTCACACGAGATAAATCCTATGTGTTATGGGAATACTCTCCGCATACTTGATCATTGTTACATATCTGAAAGAGCTCACTAGGCAGAGATGATATGTGGATTAACAATGTGAGAAATATAGCAATGCATGTTTCTTGTTAAATACATAGAAAAAGCATCACTGTTCAGACAGTTTAGATCTAAGTTTACTTTAAAAATCCCAAGGAGACCTGAAGAAATAATCGATACAGAAGTTAGATGTCAATATTTCTTCACAAATATTCCAGAAATGACAAATCTGTGGTGCAGCTCTCCTTAGGTGCACATGTTGTATGGTTTTCAGTTAATCACTTGTACCTCTCTAGATTTATTAATCTAGATGTTTTTGTGCTTCAACATGGCATCTTGTAATTAAACATGCTAAACTGAAATGGGCTTTTCACTTTCAAGTATGGACAAGTGCCTCCATACTTAATATTTTGTCTTTAAAACTTAAATTTTGTATTTTCTGAATTGTAATGTTGTTTATTTAAAGAGAAAAAAGTGTAGAAATAATACAGAATTTCAGAAAAATAAACAATAAGAAATTACTAATTGATTAGTATTATATTGTCATCTTAGAAGTAGTTGTTCAAGTTACAAATTTAAAGCATACAAAGTGATATTCAAATAATGACACTGTCACGGTTTACCTCAATGATCCACCAAAAAGTTATTAATATGCCTATCTGTCCCACACACTTTTTTTTCTTAAAGAGGGTAAAATTAAACATAGCAAAACAGAGCAAAACAGTTCATAAGGAAACAAGTTAAGGAAACACAGATTTCAAAACAAGTCCACTGGAAATGTTCACTGTCTATCTTATTGTCTCTAGTTTTTTTCCAAATAGTTGTTCCCATCCTCACACACATTGAATATATACTGAATATTATAGAACTAATCAAATAATTACAGGATGATGCAAGCTTTTCGATCTTCAAGACTGATTTTGGGGAAGTCGATAATGACTACCATAATGTGTCTCATGGTCTTTGTAGTAGCTGTCTTTATCTTTATGTATGCTGAAATGGAACATAAGAGACTAGACTACTATCACTCTGAACAGTGAATAATAGTATCCTGAGAAGGAGAAAGGTGAGGAATTGCCTAAAAAAAGAAGGCAGAGGACATAGTTAAAAGTGTATCAGGATTTAAAAGCTACAGTAGTCTTGTTGCTCTGTATAGTTTGGTTGTATTTTGTTCTGGGCTATCTACTCATATTAGATTTGAGGGCACAGAGAGATAACCCAAAAATAGCTGGTTATACCATGGTAATTATCCTTAATTTCCTATTAACTAAAACTGAATCCCTATATTACTTACATTGTCTTCTATGACTGATCTTTGAAGCTGGATTGTTTCAGTGTTATTTGGCCTTGACTGATTTTATTCACATTTGGTATGCTTGCTGATATCAAGTTCAAGAGCACAGGCAACTACTCTGAAGATGACAATGTGTAAAAGGTATCCATTGGTGGGCTGGGGATTTAGCTCAGTGGCTTAAGGCACCTGCCTGGCAAGTGTGAGGCCATGATTTTGATCTCCAGAGCCAAAAAAATAAATAAATAAAAGATATCCATTCCAGGTTTGATTATTTTTTAATTAAAGAGAAGAAAGGAAATAAAAAACAAAGCAATAAAAGGGTACAATTAATACAGAATTTCAAGAAAAAATACAGTAAGAAATCACTAGTTAATAGGATACATATTGTCATTGCTAGGGTTATTTCCAAAAGATGAAAATATTAACAAAAGATGAGAAATATAAAATAAAAAGTGGCCTTTATTCTGAGAACACAGAGAGAGATGCCCAGCACCCCCACCGCTGGCGTCTGGCGATCTCTCAGGCGCAAACGTGACGTGGGGGCCTGTAAATAGGCTTGGTTTGGGGTGGAAACTAAGGCGGGCATTAGGGATACACAGGAAGCCCATTGGTCCTAGGTTTGGCGCCATATGTAAATTTCCAGGGGAAGGAAGATGGCGTCACAGGTAACTTCCTAGGGGAAGGGGAGATGGGGCTTCCTGCTTCCGGTTGTGGCTTTCCTGGCTACAGTGTCCTATCTGGGCCAAAACCCTTTCAGTCATCTTAGAAACAGTTGTCCAAATTATAAAATTCAGGCATATAAAGTGGACATTCATACAGTGAGATTGCAGAAAGTTCTGTTCAGTGATCCAACAAAAGCTCAGTAATATGATTTTCCATCCTACACACTCAAGCATGCAGTTGTATCCCTTAGACCACCTTCCTTTCCTCTCCTTTTTACAATAACTGTTACACGTTTTGAGTTTTTTTACTCCCACAGTTCTTATTACATTTTTTGAAGAGAATACATCCTAACATGACTAAATAAAACAGAGACAGTTAGAACAGAAGGATGAGCATAATACATGATGCAAAAATAGAATATCAGATGATCAAAAATGGTTACCATTGTGCCTCTTGCTATTTTTAAAAAGAGTTACTATATCATCAGGTATAATAAAATTGATCAAAACAGTACAGAACAAGACCAATAAAACCTACACTGGAAACCTGGCAAGACTTCAAAAAAGATAATAGTCAAACTATAATGGGCATCATAATAAATCTTATTGTCTTCAAAGTGGTTGTCTATACCCTCAAACTTGATACTATCAAACAAAATACAATATAGTAAAATCAAACACAACAAGATGTGGAGAGCAATACTGGGGACAAATCAGGTTAATAGGAAAACAAATAGTTACTATAATATATCCTGCTATTTTTAAATTTAGTTTTCCCTTAATTGAAAAAAAATAAAAAAGTTTAATTTAAAAAAAGGGTGGAGATTGAGATAAAAGAGGATATTGTAATAGAACAACACTTGTGTTTCACTCCCAGATAATCTAACATAATAGTAGTCACCATAGTGCGTCATTCCTTGAATTATTTAAGTATAACTTCATATATGATAGCATCAAGCATATCAAGACAGTGTAAAGCCATTCAACAGAATGAAAGAATTACAGGGTATTTAGAACCAGTTAACAGAAAACGAACAATGGTTTCTATATTATCTCCTTGCCTATAAAAATTTTTCTTTATACTATCACATATAGTAACATATAGTAAGATACAACATGTTAAAACCAGTGGAAACATATAGTTTGTTAGAGAGGGACCATTCTTGCACCACTGAGATTGAGCCCAGTGTTGATCACGTTGGTTAACTTTGAATATGCTGGTGAGTTAACGTTGTAAACATTTAGCTGAACACTTTTGTTTATGTTTGGTAGGAATATTAGCCAACAGAGTGTTTTCATTTATATTATTTTTAACACATTATTGTCTGGCTTCATTCTCAGGATAACTTTAACGTTGTCACTTAAAAGAAGTTGGTGGTGGGTTTTCCTTCAACTTGATCAAAGAATTGAAAAACAATCAGTATATATTCTTTATTATATACTGGATAAAATTCACCAGTGCACTTTTTGTATCCCAGCTTTGTTGTTGTTAGTAAGAAGCTGTGATTTTTACCCATTGCCTGTGCTCCTTATTGCTCTGTTCATCAGACTATTTCCTTCTGATGCATGTGGTTTGGGGACATCACATATCCATTAAGGGTCACATCTCATTTTACTTATGGATGCTACAATTCATTTTGTATCTTCAAACTATCTCTATAATATATAATTTTGTGAGTAACTCCTTTCAGTTACTCAGATTTAATGCACATTCTTGAATGGTGTGGTTACTGCTGGAGGAAACTGGGCCTGGTGAGGGCCTGGTCTCTAATTTAAAGCTTCATACACTGACCTGCCTGCAGTGTACCGATCTCCTGACCTGCTCCCTGTAAACACCTGTCCTGCTCCATAACTACGGTGATTCCACATGTGGCAGTTCAGATCTGCACCTGGGTGGAAATCGTTCAGTCAAGTTGGGCTCTGTAACAGACTGACCTCATACAGAGCTCCCCT